TGCCCCCGGGCGGGACGATGGGCGGGGGGCCCTCCTGCCACTGGGTGCAGCCTGGTGGAGGCCTTGGGAGCCTGTGCCCCCACCCCTCACCTGTGCTTCAGTCACAACAGCCAGCCTGCAACAGCAGCCGCCTCATCCCAGAGCACAGGGAGGTGGGGCACAGGCCCTCCACCAGGCTGCGCCCAGCAGCGGGAGCCCCGCCCCCACACACCCATGGGTGGTGGAGAGACCCAGACTGGGCCAGGCCGGGACCCAACCCTAGTTCTCTGCCATCGCTGGGCTGGGGAAGGGCAGGTGGGGACAGCACGGTAGATCCTGGGGTGCCCTTTACTTCCAAGAAGCGATCTTCACCATAAAAAGGTTGGAGAACACTGGACTAGAGGGCTGTCTGAAGTCCCTTCCAGCATAACTCCCTTTGATTTTATAAACACTATCATTTTGACACCCATGTCTATATTTTTCCAAAAAAATAGTTGTAACATTTCATTTAGTTATATTCTTTTGAATGCAAAGTTTATTCAAAGTGTTTGTTGTGAAAGTTCTTTCATACATATTAAGAACAAGAATGTAGTCCCCTTTCCCACACTGGAGGATGCTACTGAATGCAAGTATTCCCTAGTCCAGTGGTGCTCAACCTTTTTCCCCCGCAGGCTGTATGGGTAGTGCTTGGTCTGACTGCAGTATGGATGGTAATTCCAGTTCACTGTCTGGGGCTGCCATGACTGGTACTATCCAGACATGTGGAGAAGGAAGGGGGGGGGGCTCTGCAGGTGGCATTTGGCCCATGGGCCAGAGGTTGAACACCCCTGCCCTAACTTTTGTGACTAGGTGAGGAGCAAGATCTTATTCAAGGGGCATCTGAAACTGATATATGGTTTCTTTAGTAGACTTATAACATTTAAGTCTCTCAGTTAAAATGCACTCAGGAGAACTCAGGACCCGAGAACAAGTCTGTCAGTACCAGGGCTATTTAGTTCAAGGTCTGAGCCATGCAAGCAGTAGGAAGCACTAAAAATCCAATCCAGTACCTTTTGCAGTCAGTGGACAGTTTCCCATTGACTTCAATAGAATTGAAACAAGCCAAGAAAACCCAATGTTCATAATGGGAAAGAAAGGGGAGACTAAATGTGCGCTTTTAAAAAAAAGCACAAAAACAGGATTTAACCTCTGTAATTGCTTTCTCATGCTGTAATAAATAGTTAGCAGTGTAAATGGATATTGTATTGTTGTATAACAAATTACATCAAAGGCCACTGAGATTCACTGTCATTATGATTTACCTTTCCCAGTTTTGCTATGTCACGATACAGAGATATAGGCAGAGTAAAGATGATAGTAGTACACAGAATAACAAAGTGACGGTCAATAAGCCAGTTATCTGGTCCAACTAAAACAAAGAAGAAAAAAAATGGAAAATTAATTTTTGAGGAACAGATTAATAGCAAGGAATTTAGGCTCTGCCCCATAATGAAATAAAGTGCAACTTCAACTCCTCTCCTTTCCTATAGGAAACACACATTAAAATAAAAGGTGAGTATTAAATGGTTCTGTGCAAATATAAAAGATATACAGTTAAAAAGTAATATTAAAGGCTTAAATACACATTTCAAATTGATTGCATCATCTGATTTGTAAGCCATCTAACAATGATCAACAGACAATGATTGTTCGAATATCATAAGTGGTGTTTACTTCAGTTGATACCCACTAAGAAACAAAATGTACGTTGGCAGGTTTAAAATCCTGTATCCCCCCACATTGATCCCATACATCTGCATGGAGTTGTACTGAAGCCAGTTGGGGTCATCATTGGCAGAGAAATCCACTAATATTACTTAGGTAGTAGGATTGGGGCCTCGGAGTACAGGAAAGACACATTTTATTTATATATTAAAATAAATCCTTTACATAGGAGATCTTATCAGTAAGAGAACTTAAATGGCTGTTTATAGAAACATTATGGTTACTTTTTACTAACAAATCTCAACTAGCTGATTCTCCCTGTACTCCCAAGCTTTACATATAAACTTACCTCCAGGTATTCTTTGAAAAACTTTAGTCAAAGTGTCTCCTGTTGTTATGTTGTAACTAATCATAGCTTCAAAAAACAAAACAAAAACAAAACTTACAATCAAACTTTTATTAATACAAATCATACATACTACAGACTTCAGGATTATATGCAGTTAATAATGGAACCGAGTCAACATGGTGCATGGTGACCAGTGGCATCCCCCAGGGTTCAATTCTCAGACCAGTACTCTTTAATATATTCATAAACTATCTGGATTTGGGTGTCAGAAGCAGACTGGCTAAGTTCACAGACTACACCAAATTATGAGGAAGTGCAGTCACTATAGAGATGATAGGTTGGGGATTCAGGCTGACCTGGACAGGCTTGCAAGGTGAGGGGGATCAAAACCTGATGACACACTTCAACATAGAAAAATGCAAGGTGCTCCACCTCAGGAAAAAGACCCACATCATATGTATAGGCTCAGCACTAACTAGCATTATGACCAAAAGAGACTTGGGGGTCATGAATGACCAAAAGATGAATATAAGACACCAATGTGATGTCACAACTGGCAAACCAAATAAAAACCTGGCTTGCATCTACTGATGCATCTCAAGCAAGACCCAAGATGTCATCCACCCACTTTTCTCAGCCGTGGTGAAGCTGCAGCTGGAGTACTGCATCCAATTCTGGGCTCCACACTGTAGAAAGGATGTGGAAAAATTCAAGAGAGTTCAGAGGAGAGCCATGCACATGATCAGAGGTCGAGAGAGCAAGCCTTATAAGGAGAGACTGAGAGGCACGGGACTCTTTAGCCTGGAGAACCGTAGGTTCAGGGGGGGTTTGGTGGCAGCCTATAAGTACATAAGAGCTGCGCGTCAGGATCTGGGAGAACATCTGTTCACCAGGGCTCCCCAAGGGAAGACAATGTCAAATGGTTACAAACTGCTGGAAAACCATTTTAGACCGGACATAAGAAAAAACTTCTTTACTGTCCGAGTCCCTAGTCTGGAACAGACTCCCTCCAGAAGTGGTGCAAGCACCTACTCTGGAAACATTCAAGAAGTGCTTGGATGATTATCTTGCTGGGGTCATCTGACCCCAGCTGACTTCCTGCCCTTTGGGTAGGGGGTTGGACCTGATGATCTTGTGAGGTCACTTCCAGCCCTAATGGCTATGAAATCTATGAAATCTAAATTAGTTGCAGTCTCATCCTTACTAGTTTGGTTTTTTTTGATTGGCTTCCTAACCTTACTGCTGCCTGTAAGCTGCCCTTCACAGACCTACTTTCAAGTTCTGAACGCTAAATGAAGAGCTATTTAATGCTCACAATTTTCCTTGCATAATAGACATGAGAACTTGAAAGGGACCCAGTCAGATGACCAAGACTGTTGAATTTTGTGGCCAAGCACATTTACTTCAAAAGGGGGAAAAAAGGGCTTTTAAAACTGCCTCTGTCAAACACAGCAATTCATTGACAGTTTTTATTAACAGAGAAAAATTACATGCCTCCAACAGTTCTTGTTTCAGCTTTATACCTAATCCCCTGGGCTCAATCCTGCTGTCACATGCATGGGGATATATGTACTTATTTTACCTTGTAAAATCAGTTTTGTGCATAATTGTTCAACAGTGCTAGTCAATGTTAAAGTATGCAGTGGCTGCCATTATTTGTCCTGTTGCAGCAATGCCACTTCTATTGTATCTTTTAATTTAAACAGTGAAAGATACAAAGTTACTGTAGGAACCTTATACCGAAGTGCATTTTAAATGGCACCTGCTGTATATTATGTGGTAATATTTTTTTTAAGTAATTGAGGGCAGAAGAGAAGCAATATTTCAAAAGGTTCCCTGATACTTGTAAAGAGTTACTGAACTTTGCAACTAGAATAATGGGAAAGGGAATAAAAGTGGTAATGCAAAGGGAAAACTGCAATAGCTGAAGATATAGGTTTTGAAGTGGGAAGGCTAGGTTTTGGTCCTTCTTTTCTCACTAAGGCTTCTATTCATTTCATCAGGAACTCGAGTAAGGACAGAGGGCTTTAGGTCCAAACTCACAAACCATTTTTTTATATAAAAAAAATACTACATACTATAGATATGCATGCATTTTTGTCTTTTACAAATTCATATATAAATATGCCCCATCATACAAATGCTGATGCATGTATTTGACTTAACTACTATATTTAATCATTATTAGTAGGGGAATCAACAAAAAGCACTTATTTTAGTGGATGCATAAATATTTTCATAATTGTATATTTTCTATAATAAAGCAACTATTTTTCACACTGAAAGGTTGGGGATTCTGTTCTAGTACCTCACTCATCTCATGATTAGAAACTCTGTTCTAATTTGTAGCTCAAGTTTATTCACTCCAAATGCACACAGGTCTGTCCTTGGACCAACACTGTTCACTTAATTTGAATAGCTTTTGTCCCTTAATGAAGTTTATTCTTAATGCACTTAGACAGAACATATCCCTTTAGCTTTGCCAGGTAAAACAAACTAAGCTTTTAGTTTGTTGTTGTGACCCATGCATTTTGTACAATATTGGATGGAATTTTAGTCTATTAATCCTGTTTTCAAGATAATTTTTCCCTTTATATCAGTCTTCTTCTGAAGCATCTGAAATCACATGTCCCTTGAAAATCTTCAGCATCATCAAAAGGATAGAGAATGAGTTTTACATGTTTTAACAAGTAAACTATTGCTAACAGTGTTGGAGTGATGTCATAACTGTAACTTCACAGGAAACATGCAAAATGCAAGGAATTGCGCATGTAATATCTTTTGTTGAGCCAATTGCATGGTTGGGATATATCAAAACAAGAAGAATGCATTGCATTTGTAAACTTCAGGACCAGAAAAAATGCATTGTATTCAAAAGCTTGTCTCAGTCTATCCCAAGAGCTGAAAGAGTAGCTCCTTGATGGTCAGGCTATTAGGGATCCACCCTTTTACCTCTCTCCCCCTTGATGGAGGAGGAGGGAGAGCAGAGAACTGTGGGATCCTAGAAACCCCTGTAATGCTAGGAGTAACTATACAAGGGCTATGTATACAAAACTGAGAAGATACTCTTTGAAAGAGATACCATTTTTACTACTTTGTAGCACTTTCATGATCTTTGCAGAGCTACAAACAGCATGAACACCTGCATGTAGCCTTTTTTTTTAAAGCATTTAGAGGGTCAATTTAGCTTTAGAGATGTAATGACTGCCCATGACCTTAATATTCAGCTCTAGTCACTAAAAGCATAAGATTCAAATATACCTGGGATGAAAGCCTGGTCCAGCTGAATCAATGGGATTTTACCATAGACTTCACAGAGCCAGAGTTTCACACTCGGAAATGAACCACACATAATAAAATGTCCTAATACATTTTCGTACTTCAGATAAGGACATATTATGAGTTAAACTGTGAAGATCTAACTATTGTTGTTCTATGGTGATATTATTTTTAATCGACTGGCAAGACTGATAATAAAATTAACTAAGAATAGGAAATACTTGGATTTAAGTGTTCTCAGTTTCAGTGCCAATATAATGAAACACAAAAATGAATTCTTATCCTAAAAATTCATTTTTAAGTATTTTAAGCTAAGATGATCTCTTTTTTGGTAATACAAATAGGACAACTTTAAGGTATAACTCTATAGTAATCTTACCAATAAATGGATATAAAAATTGCAGAGTAGAGAGGATTAGGTACCCTATAAAACCATATGTTTTATGTACCAGTGCTTGATAGGTGTTCATACCAGAGAGATTTCCTGCTTTAATCAGTAATATAATGGAATAATCTGTAAACAATATTAAAGACATATTTGAGATTAGTTTTGGGTTTTGTTTTTTTGTTTTGTTTTTACACGTGTTCCAAGGAAACAGTTTGATAAATATTAAAACAAAAACATCCTGCAATTAATTATTGACTGAAACAACTGTACTAAACTGATGCATAGTGATCACTATCTAATCTTTCCCTCCTGCAAAAAGGCTGTGGAAAGGGAAAAGAAGGCATCGTAGTTCAGTGTCTAGTTTCTTGCAGGTATATGGTTGTGTTAACCTAACAGCAAAGTGCCTGAGAATCAAATCAAAAACCAAGTCTGTAACCGCTATGGTATTGGAGTATCCATATGGAGGACACGCATCTTGTACTTGGGAAGGGTATAGCCCACTCCCCTTTGTATTGGGCTCTGTCCCTTTCTAGTACTGTCTGAGACATTTCATCTTCAAAGTCCTTCAATTCATCCTTTGTAATATTCTAGTGCTCCACTGAAATCACAAGTCAATTTGAGCTAATGATTAAGCGGGCCACAGCATTGACCAACAGTGTTAGATGTTTTAAAAACAGGAAGTAGAGGCTCATGCTTTTAGAACAAGGAAACACCCTGCAGCATGGGGTGACAAGTAGTAGTTGCAACCATATGCCAGCTCCATCAAAATGAAGTGAAATGCATGGGTTTACCGTAATCAACTTTACAGTGGATTTTAAACATTAGAAGTCAGGATATTCAAAAGTGTAATTTTCACCATGGATGTGTAACAAGTTTACTCACATATTACAAGTCTTATCTTTAACTGTGACAGAACACTAATGCAGTCAAAATTGCACATTCTGGCCCTATAGCTGTATGCAGTCATGCGAAACACTACACTGAGTTCTCTAAATGTAGTTACAAACAATTAAATTCCCTGGTCTCTCTGTGTTTGATATCTAATAAATGGGAATCAGCTTATTTTGTCACTAGATCTAGTGACGATTATTGGGATTTAACAGTGTAATAATGCTGGCTAAATCCTGATCGTTGATTTTCATAACTCTTTTTCGGTAGCATTTGAAACCCATAAAAATGGCCCTATAAATGTGTTATTTACCAGGGCTAGCCAACTAGCCTGTGGGCATGTGCAGCTGCCTCTCTTACTGCAGTGCGGTGGGGAAAAGCCCAGGGAGGGCCATGTACTGTCCATGTAGTAGGTGGCGGGGAGACTGCACACTGTTGACAGCCCACACAGTGAGGAAGGGTGCCCAGGGGCCTACCCCAACAGGATACAGCCAGTGCAGTGTGTGGCTCAAGGGCTGCACCCTAGTATTACATAGTTTCCAAGTGCACTGACACTGGGTAACCCTGTCCTTCCAGTTGTAGCATGAGAGACACTTGAATATGTAGCAGATCAAGAAAAAGGTCCTAAAAAACTACTGTACATAGAACATAAGTATTCAATTTTGCATATGGGTGTATAGGAATGCCTAAAGTATATAATAGCTTCTTGAAGGATGTTACGTTACAAACACACATGACTACTACTCTATAATTTTTTTAATGAAAAATGTATATTTTAAAATGACAAAACAGTGATTTCTCCCTTGCCTTCCAATCCTTATTACTGTAAGGAAAATAAAGTTGAATTATTTGTCAAATCATGTCCTTGGAATATCTCAATCTGTCCCCTTACTCTAGGGAAGCAGCTGAAAATTCTGAATGATTTCTGTTCCCATCTGCACAACCACCTACACTGCAGTGAGCATTGTAGTTACACCCCCAAGAACTCCAAAAAATGCATAACTGTGCCAAAATACCAACTGACTCCTTGAAAACTTGTTATAGAGAAAGAAAAACACCAGGCAGCATAATATAAAACTGTGGTAATGTTATCAGGAGATTTCTAACTGCAGGGAACTATAATATTTCCTTCAAAAATCAATTATTGCTGTTCTGTGATACAATTTCTTCCTCAAGGAGGTGTTGCAAACATAGGAAGGCCTGTATTTTGCCTTAACTTCAGTTAAGTATTGGGACAGAGTTGTCCCCCAGGAACTGGGCACTGATGTTTTAGTGAAATTTTTGGCAGAAGAAACTACCTGTTATATACAACAGGTTGGGTGTAAGTTACCCAGAATTCCACATCACTGACTTCTCCTACTACAGGAAACCAATGTTCAAGACCCTGAGGTTTGCTCAGACATGCTGCTGTCCCTCCTGCAGTCTCACCACTGGGCACCACAGGGCTAGAACATGTGACTTTCATTCACATGGATAAGGATTTACAAACATATTCCCATTACAACCAACAAATTATTAAATTTGGCAAGTAGATGCTTGCCATGTGATTCCACATTGTGGTCCTTTATGAATATAGAAGTAGGGGAATTTAGATTATTTCTTGTTGGACAATTATGATAAAAATAAAATAAGCAAGTTGAAAAAGGTCTGGTTTTAATATGTCGTGAAATTGGAATACACCATCTATGTCTTAACTGGAATTTTTGAATATGAACAAGTGTTCTGCAAGAATGGATAATATTTATCTCAATAATGGCTTAATCTAGTCTAGTTACCTAGACACCCCCTCCCCGCATTCCCTAAAATAAGCAAGAAACAGCTTTAAATGTATGGCATAATTCTCTGCTTGTATTAATCTGCTCAAAGGATTAGCAAACTAAGTGTTAAAATCTTCATTTTTACTAAATTGTAACTCATAGATCTACTTGCTAAGTTATCCTCAACTTCAAATTCAGTTTATCTTTGTAAAACAAATTCTCTCTCTATAATCACTATCGCTTTTGTTGTACCTGTGATATAGGCAACACCAAATAAAAGTAATATTCCTAATGGAAAGCCAGCTTGCTTCATTGAATAAGGCAATCCTGCAAATAAAGAAACAAACACAAATTAGAAAAGATCCTTCCTACATATTTGTAATGTTTTTGCACAAGAAACATTCTTTCAAAATAAAAATCTATTATTCATCCCAAAGCTTGGAACAATACTGTGCAATGTTTCCCAGCCCTTCCTACCCATATCCTTTCAGGGGTTACTTCAAAAAAGCTCACTTTCTGAGGATAAAGACTATTTAAGTCTTGGAGCCCAACCACTACTTGATTGCTCTGCTGGTCTGCCAACAAAGACTATACAACAGTTATCATACTGGGGCTCTTGATCCTTTTGCAGGTGCTACTTTAATATAAGTACATAATAATAACCTGTACTGATAGCACTATAATAATGTAAAAGCATGTTTTTCTCAAGACTGGATATTTTTGCATGGATTAAATCAATTAAACCAGAATGAAAAAAGTGTAGATTACCTATTATGCCCGATCCTATGATAGAGTTGATAATATTAAAACCAGCTGATGGTAGATCACTGTTTCCTCCTTTCTTCCTGGGCTTACAAACCAGGGCTGTTGTGTCACCTGTTTCTATCTAGTCCAAGAAGATAATATTAACATTATACAAGAAACAAATAGCACAGGAAAGAACAAGTAGATTAGACACATTTAACTAAAAATAAATAAATATCGCTTTCAAATGTAATAAAAGCCATTCAACCACTTCTAAAAATCTGGACCTTACTCTTCTGCTTCTCAATTAGTTCTGATAAGTTATGGGATGGGGACATAATGGTTGAAGCCACATGCACTTATCTAGGAAAAGAGTTGTTCTTATGAGATCCTGACCTTAGAGGCAGAAATATGGGACCAGGTATCCTTCCAATATTTTGGCTAATTAGACAAAGCACTCAAATTTGGATCTATCCCAGAGCCAAAATCAGACAGATAGTTTAATTGCCAAGAAATCAGATCGGAATACTCCAGAAATGTAAATTCAAAGTTCCACTGGCGATTCATTTCTGAATAATGAAAGTTTAATCCATTACGTATAGCTAAATGATACCACTAAATAGCTAGCTCCAGCAGCTGGTTATGTGGAAGACCTAGATTCCAGGCAAAGCAAAAGATTATCATGCATCAGACTTGCAATAGCCACTAGGTCTTTCAAAAATGAGATTCTCAGCCTGTAGACAGATGGAAGAGAGAGAAAGATGCGTCTTATTCTGATCCTCTGCTCCCGCTGTCAAAAAAGGTGTAGTCCCATCATTATACTGCAGCTACCTGAATCTAAGCTGACTCTGAATTTAAGGTGGCCCCCTCAAATAATTAGATTGTTATCATTTTCCATGCATACAATCTAATTATTAGACACCAATAATTAGACTGTATACATGGAAAATGATAATTTGATACATTTTCTTAAAGTCATCCCCCCACTGATCCAGCAAGGAAAACAGGGACAGGGGAGCAGGTGGTAAAAGGAGGAAGTCAAGCAGCCTGACCCCTGCCTCTTGCCCCTGCCACATGTCTGCCCCCCCCAACACACTTTCCCCCCTGCTGCCCGATTCCCACCTTGTGCTTGGGCTCTGGGGCCTGGCCAGAGTTGCCACAGCCACAAAAGCTTCTACTGGGACAGGCTGGAGATGGAGCAACCATGTGCTCTGTGCCCTGGGCTGGTGCAGGGCCAGAACTGTGCCAGAGCCAGGGGCTAAGCAGTGGGGGGAAGGGAAAGACAGCAGTGAGAGCACCGGGTGCATGCACGGCAGGGGGAAAGCTGCAAGCAGCAGCAGTGGTTCTGCCCCAAGCCTGGAGCCGGAGACAGAGTAGCTGCCTGCTCCCCTGCTACCTTGTACTCAAAACCAAGATGAGACCCTCTCCTCTCACCCCCTTGTTAAGTGAGAGGGAAAACCTCATCTTGGATTCAAATAAATTTGGTATGTAGCAATAGCATGGAATTAAATGGAGGAACCAGTATTTAAATGGAAGTTAAAAATGTAAAATCAACTATCCTCATACTCATCATGATACTGAAATCCCTGTCTCAGGCAGGTAAGAGCTCAGTCAGTATACTCCTACAGTATAAAGAAGAGTTCAACCTGGCTGCCTACAGCCAACACTAACAAAAAATTAATGTGATTTATCAATTTCAATTGTATTCAGTTCAGAGATCTGTGCACTTCCAGCAGCTGCCAAGGATAACAACACTGCAAAAAGAGCTAATTAAATTATTACATGTCAGCTTGCTGCTGACAGCCATGTACATCAAAACCATAGTTTCATAGTTTCAGGGTCGGAAGGGACCTAATAGATCTTCTAGCCCGACCCCCCGCCAGGGCGGGAGAACAACCCAAAAACACAAACAAAACCACTCACCCTAAAAACAAAAACGGGACTCAAATGAGTCCAACCATCATGGGACTGGAACATTTTAGGTTTTCTCACTTGCATTAAGCATTTAGATATTACTTCCACCCTCTCTTTGATCAAGAGATGCTCCCACCCCTTGAAATAAAAAACTTGTTAGAAATATTCACTTTGAAATCAGAAACTCATTCTTCATGTTATTGTCCCCTCTCCAGGTTACTGCATGATAAGCCTTTGGAAAAAAGAATTTTGTGGTTAAACTCAGGGGCTGGCAAACGTTTCAAACTGCATGCCAGAACCTCAGCTCTAGTCTGGTGAGGGCTGACTCGATTCATCAGCATGTCAGCAACAAGGTTGCCTCTATTCACACAGGGGTCAGGTAGTTGAAAGCCACGTTCCCCAAGTGGGGCACAAGCACAGCTTCCAGCTGGAAGGGTGCAGTGCTGGGGATGGGCAGCTGGCAACTTAACCCATGAAGCTACTGCTTCTTCTCACTGCCTTTCTCTCCCTGGCTGCAGTGTGGGGGCAGCTTCCAACCAGTAGGGAGCTGCATCAAGGCCAGGCAGATGGAAGCACTGCTGCTGCTTCTCCTTGCTCCCCTCCTTCTGGCTGCTGTGCAAGCTGCACAGATATTTACTGCCCCCCAACACACATTCAGGCAAAGGCAAAGCCTTCCAACTCTGCGGACCAGATCCACGGCGTGTTGCTGATCCACAGTCAAACTATGTCGGTTACCTGTGCAGCCACACGTTAAATATCAGCCCTTATTAGCAGCCCTTGTGAAAACCAATGGCACAGCCTGGATAGGAACCTCTAATTTTTTCACACCTGTGAGACTGGCCTTCAACAAGGGCCAATAAAGCAACCATGCGATCAGGGCAGTGTTATCTGTACCAGAAGCATTCCTGGCACCCTGAAAACAAATCCCCTGTTTTAAGAGAGAATCCAAGAAATGCAACAGACCGTCTAATTACCATTCATTTCTTTTTTGATGCAGCAGAGTATAGTATAACAAATGAATAACGGGTTCTGGTCACTACTCTGAATCACCACATGCATGTTGGATAAAATAAATCTTTCGTGCCTACGATTCTTATCAGCTAATACTACCTGTGCATTGTCTTTGAGGACTTCACAAGGCACCAGCATGCCGCTGGTTTCCATAATATGCTCATCCACGGAAAGCTAAAACTAGGACTGACTTTGCTTTTCTTCAAGACTGGTGTGGAGCAGAAAGGTGCTTGAAGGCAGATTTTCAGAGGTGCTAACTCCCTGGGCTCACATGACAAAACCCGTGCGTGCTCGCTGTGTACCTTCCATGCTTTCTTATCCCTCCTCCCCCCCAAGTATTTTGCATGGGGAGCCGCTCTTCTAAGCCAAGAGAGATTTTCGCAGACACGTTGGTTCCTGCCTCTCGCCCGCCCCAGGGAAAAGCTGGCAGAGCCTGCTCCTGTTTGCAGACAGGTGTTCGGCTAAGGACGGTTCTGTAGCCCTCTTCCCTCCAGTCTGGGTTTCTAGACAACCCCCCTTAGGATTCGCACAGAGGCAATACCTCAAGGAGGCCCAGCAAGTTAAAACCAAGCCAAAACAAACCAAACCAAACCAGGCCGCTACTGACACTGACAATCTTTTCCTCCTCATCCAGGGAGGTGTGGGTCTGGGTGGGCAGCGCGCTCGGACACGCGGGTGTCTGAAGGGCCGAGCGGTGCTTCCCTCCCCGCGCCGCACGGAGCCTCGGGTCCGGCAGCCAGAGGCGAGAGAGAAGGGGCAAGTGGCGGGGCTGAGGAGGGGGCAGGTCGCAGGAGCCATCTGAAGCCTGCAAGCAAAGGAAGGGCATCCCGACAGCTCCGCCACTCCCGTCACTGTGCCCCACGTGCACGAAGGG